TCTTCTTTGGCAAGAATTCCCTGAAGACCCGAAGTGCGGAAAAGCTTTGAAGCTGTTGTGTGGAAAGTATGCGAAGAAGCTTTGGCATTCCCTCTGCACATGCTTGTACGAACATATGCATGCACAACCCGCCAAAGAATGCGGGCATGGAACACGATCTACGCGCTACCAGTTTTTCGACCAGTTGTGTTCAACCTCGCACACCAACGATCAAGGCTTGAGGTTGCAGGTTCTGCAACTCTAGTGCTAGGAAGATCCGGGACTGCAGAAAGCCAAGCTGCCATTGGCCGATCTTCGGATACGCTGAGAGGTCAATACCATGCACAGCGAAGAGCCCTGTGTACTTGTCCAAGCACTGCCCGATCTCACAATAGCCTGAGCTCGAAAGGGGAAGCTCTTCTGCCTTCATTCCGAGATACTCCAAAGTGCTCGAAAGACACGTGAGGAGTGTGCCACGAAAGCCATTCTCCCGTCAAAGGCCTCTTTGTTTGCCTCCTTCCTCATTCGACCCATGACTGCGATGAATGAAAGTCCAACAAGTCAAGGATCACACAAGCCTCTAGCAGATGATGAAAGCACGCGCCCAATCTGCCATCAATCGACACTCGAACTCGAATCTTAGCAGTTCTTGGTTGAGTGCTGCCTCGCCACAAGACAAGTCTGCGACAGTCGGCTCCTTAGATCAAGCGAGCTTCGCTGATCTCAAATCTGGTTTGGAGGGGTTGAGCAAAGCCCGGGAGAGCAGGCGCTCGGATCTAACCCAGGGTCCACAAATTTGAGGCAACTTTGTCGATGGCTCAGTCTCGAAGCTCACTTGCACGTCAGACATATTACATCTGCGAGACTTGCAACCATGTCACCTTTTCAGTCTCAATGCCGTGTGTTACCATCCCGGTATGACAAAGACGCTTCAGGGATGAAGGGTTCAGCCCTTGAGCCGACAGACGTGAAGTCGTAGTTCGACTGTCCGGAATGGACCGAATGAGAGGATAAAGAACATCTCTCGTGTTTATGATGCTTAGCGCCTCGCTCTTGTTGCATGAGGTTTCTATTAAGGCCCAGCATCTGAGCCGCAGATCCAGGTGCTCTCGGAAAGCCAGCGCTCCACAGTTTGCAACGTGGTCTTGATCTCCTGCTGGGGCTGAGCGGAGCCAAAAGCCCTCTATCCACTTCTTCTCTGAAAGGCTGACCCGAAGTTGATGTCACCAGAAAGTGCTTCTCAGACTGGCCTGCGCCCGGGAGAGCTGCTCGCGGATGAGCCGAGTTGAGCACGAGCGAGGTTTGACAGCTAGGCAGAAAGAGAAAGAAGGAAGACAGAATGAGACAGAGTCAGTGCCGACACTCTCAAGAAGAATGCAAGCTCGATACAAGAGACAACAGTCCTTCTTCTACACACCAGCTTCCACTAGACAATGGTCACAATGGCTCGCATAGCGCAAACAAGCCACCGATTGATCACCGACCCGAACCTGCTAAAGTCTAAACCCAAGATCCAGCAAAAGCCCGCACTGTGTCGCATTTTTAATAATAACAATAATAGTAATAATAACAATAATAATCATACGAATATTAATAATAGTAGTAGTAGTAATAATAATGCTAATAATAATAATGATAATAGTATAAGTCACGGGCGCCTTCATCCAAAGGTCGACCAAGGCCTGCGGCAGAGGTATGTCCGGTCTCATCACGGGCGCGAAGAGGGCCAGGGTAATGCGCCGCGTATTCTGGTGGTGCCAGTTCATGTACTGGTGGATTCCTGGCAAAATGGCACAGACATGTGTTAAGCTTATCCTGGACTACAACAGTCCGTTTTTTTCAGCCCGTAGTCCCAACAAACACTACAATGTGCTGCCTAGTCTGGAGGACACGGGCTTCCTGTCGTGCGTCCCTGCGGTGCGATTTAAGCCTGTCTGGAAGTGCCGAATCTACCTTTATAGCGACCCATCCTTCGTCCAAAGACTGCCCGCAAAATGCCGATGCATCCTGTGCAAACCTTTATGCCGAGATTCGCGCTCGCGTGCGGGGCTCTTTGGGATAGAGCTTCCAGTTAAAGCGGTCGCCGAGATACCTGAAAGCGCATGTAAGTCGCCCAGAGGCTTGGGATGAAGAGGACATCTTTCATGCCCGAAAATCTTCAAAATGTCTAGAAGCTCCTTTTCCTCGTGAGCTCAATTTCAATACATCTTGCACTTCCGACGGATGCCTGCGACTGCTGCATCTTAGCCTCCACCTGTCGAACCTCTAGTTCTATCCTCTGGGCAAGCCAAGTGAGAGATTCCGAAAATAGGGGACCCTAATATAGTAGCCTAAATAGTAGGATCCTTAGAATAAGGACCCTCCAAATAAGGCGCCCCCAATTTTCGGAAGCTCCCAAGTTGGTAACAGCGACGCCATGATCGCATGGCTCTCGTTGAGGATGAAGCCATCCTCCTGTCTTCAACGGAACTTACAAGCAACTTTTAATATTCCAATAGTAGTAATAGTAGTAATAATGATAATGCTAATAATAGTATAAGTCGGCAGATAGAAATTTAGTTAGGGGTTTGGATTCTCCGCTGGGGTAGATGTGGATGAAACACATCTCAGACCAAAGCAGAAAGCTACGCAAAGCAACATGCAATGCTCGAGCAGACAACCGTGGCGCTAATCGTGCCCATGGTCATAATTTCTGTAAAACTTGGCATCGATAATGCAGATGACGATGGTTGTGATGATGGTGACGACGAACATGAAAGAAGTGTTCATGATGGCGAGGATATCCGTTGCCGCTGTCAATCTAATTCCTACGGCACAAGCAGAAACTCCATCCTCACAGTTGGGTTTAACAGCGTGAAGTCCCCTTGGGGTCCTCCAAGCGAGGCACAGCAAAGATGGGCCCCTGCTTCTTGTAGTCCTCACTCCTGGTGTCCTTGCCCGGCATGATTTGCACCTCCTCCACCTTCGTGCCTGAGGACAAGATGCCAAACACACAGGGGCCGTCTACAGCAGCAGTGTGCGGCAAAAGGAAGTACTGTGTTAAAGCAGAATTGTAGCTGCTGAGATGGTACCTCACGGGTACCTCACGAGGTAGTTCCGAGTGGCATTGATTCACTCTCGATAGTACCGTCTTATCATAATCTTCAGGACTGACTACTTTACGATGTCGCATCAAGGATTGTGTGTTATACAAACTGCTTGCCATGTGAGGAAAAGCTTTCGAAGGCTCAGCATATCTGCTGGTAATACAGCAAGTTACACATCGAGTATACCTAGCTTCTATGTTCTCGCATCTATTCGCGCAGTAGTGACGGTACTGGCACTACGTCGGATGAGGTGTTGCCGGCGATGCCAATACTACCGTTTGCAGTTTTTCCTTCTTCCGCAACAAGACATTTCAACACAATGTCCATGACATGTCAACGTGTTGACATAAGCATATCAACGTGTTGTCATAAGCATTTGTGTGTGTGTGTCTGCGTGTGTGTCTGTGTGTGTCTGTGTGTGTCTGTGTGTGTCTGTGTGTGTCTGTGTGTGTCTGTGTGTGTCTGTGTGTGTGTCTGTGTGTGTGTGTGTCTGTGTGTGTGTGTGTGTCTGTGTGTGTGTGTGTCTGTGTGTGTGTGTGTCTGTGTGTGTGTGTGTGTCTCTGTGTGTGTCTGTGTGTCTGTGTGTGTGTCTCTGTGTCTCTGTGTCTCTGTGTCTCTGTGTCTCTGTGTCTCTGTGTCTCTGTGTCTCTGTGTCTCTGTGTCTCTGTGTCTCTGTGTCTCTGTGTCTCTGTGTCTCTGTGTCTCTGTGTCTCTGTGTCTCTGTGTCTCTGTGTCTCTGTGTCTCTGTGTCTCTGTGTCTCTGTGTCTCTGTGTCTCTGTGTCTCTCTGTCTCTGTGTGTGTGTGTGCGCGTGCATGTGTGCGCTTGTGCGCGTGTGCGCGTGTGCGCGTGCGGGTGTCTGGGTGGGTGGGTGGGTGGGTGGGCGGGCGGCCGGGCGGGCGGGTGGGTTTACACCGATACACGTGTCCACACTTGCCGCTTTGTATGTAATGCACGCATACGGCCTGTATGAGACATGTCAACATACCTGGAAAGCCTAGGTGGCGAAAATTAATGCAACTTTTGAAAGTTGCGGCTTTTCCTGCTTGAAAGCTGCCACTGCAAAGTTGCCGGTTTTGCCCATAGGTTTCCTACGCTTTTTTACGCCACTCTACGCTTTTTCACGCCACTTTACGGGTTGGTTTACGCCACTTTCTTACGGAAAGCCTCCGAGAACTTGCCAGTGACAGAAATTCTGGCCACTTCTAGACTGTGATTGAAATTCCTGCCACCTTCCAAAGTTGCTGCAAAAAAGCAGCAACTTTGGCTTTCCAGGTATAAGTATATAGCATTACATGCCCATGTTCATGCCAAGAGTACCCGTCTTCTATGGGTATATGTACCTGCACAAGTTTGCAGGGCGCTGCGGATGCGTGCAGGCATGTGCTTTGTTTTTGTTCACGGTCGTTTTTGCGCATCTCCCTGGTGGGCCGCGCATTCTATGCACATACACACGGACTAAGTATGCACCGACACCAAGCACGCACAGACAAACGTCCAAATACGCCTAAGTATAGGTTCCCAATCTCTTGCGGAGCACAGACTTAGCGATTCAGTACCATTCCACATCCTTCCGAGAGTTGCTGAGGAAGCGAAGCGGGCCTTCACAGGCACAGGCCCAGGACAAAGCCCTTGCAGGCTGCGAGATGGGCATAGTGTAGATCTTCATGGCCAACGGAGGACGCCTCAAAGCTAACCTTCCTACAAACCTACGAGTCGGTCAGCACCAAGTGTGCGACGACTTGGACAGGCCGCGGCAGATGACATGTTGCAACCCGAAGTCGAGAACAGAGGACTAAAGTACAGAAGCTCGTCCTGAATAACATGCAAGGGGCTCCAGCTCCCAAAACTGTGAACTTCAGAGTCGCAGTAACGGCCAGAGCAGACTTGGCATTCTTTCATTGATGCACCGCTGCAGATTCGCTGGGGTCACTACATTCGGCTCGAATGGAGCTGCAGTGGACCTTGCGTATGACGACTCCGGACGGACATGCTCTTTGCAAAAGATGCCAAACTTCTACATCTCCTGTAGATACGATGGAGAAACGAGGAGGCCCAAACCAATGTAGGATCCACGAATCTGAATATATGTGTGCATGAATGTGGTAGGTAACCATGTTTGGCAATGCTTAGTTCATGTTCTGCATCAGCTTACGAAAGCTATGGCAGCTATGGACTGTGGATTGATGCAGCCTATAACATACCTTTGTCGATTAGAAAAGACAAGGCCAGTGTGCAAAAGGACGAGGCCCAGTATGCTAGCGCACCTTCAGGTTACGACAGTGGCTGATCCTGACGAATCCCTCAAATCATGTTGAGGCTACGGGTACGTGGCATGACGGGCATGCTGCAAGCAGACAAGCATGGCAGTCAGGGCATCGGCTGAGACTGCGCTCCTTCTGCAAGCCCACCTGCACTCCAGGCTGTGAGCTGTTCGAGCGATGTCACGGAGAGAGCATCGTTGTCAGTTGTCTTCAGCACAAGGACTGCTATGCTTTTCAATGCACGGCCTTTTCTTCGCTACAAGGTGCAAGGTAGATTTCTGGCCATAAGCAGGTGTCACATTTTGTGCTGCTCTGCACCGATGCCCGCCCCTACCATCGTCTTGTCTTCTCACTATACAGAGGAAACTTAGTGGAAATACAACCATGAAGTTTCCGCGGAAGAGGGCCTTGAGTGCCAAAGCCTAGCGTGAAAGCTCCATGCCTGGCTGGAGTTTCGCCACTTCGCCGCCTTGTCTCACCTTGAAAGAGCTTCGATTTTTGTTTTTCTGTTTGAACCCTCGTGTCTTTTGGTGACCGCCAGACGTCCAGCTTGGATGAGGGGGTTTACTGCCTGCTCTCACACGTTGGGGATTCACCACCTCACCACAAAATTCCCCCCTTACTACACATGCAGAATACAGCTTCTCAGCGAGCAGGCAGTAACATGGCGCTCCCGGGCATCTTCTTCCTTCACATTCCAAAGTACTCCAACTACAAGATATAAAAGCCCAAAGTCCCTGCCCAAGCGCTCGGCGTGGAGATCACTCAACACGCATACGGCATAATGCCCCGCGATTGTAGACCGGAAGATTCTCAACGGCTACTGCTGCCTAGTGCCGCCCCACCACTTATCATCACAGCAATAGAAGACTCTATTGATACACAATCTCGGGCTTGCGATGCTAGCAGGCAGCACTTCGACACAACTCTTTGCATTGATGAATTTCATGTGCCTCGACTTTGGGATGTTTCGGGTCTAGGGTTTAGGGCACATGGGATACCTTTGCACAGTCAAAGCTGCCAACAAATCAAAGCACATGAAACTGAGGAAGGGAGCACATTCTGTGAAGCGAAACCCTTGGGTGAGATGCCACACCTCCACCACCCTATACCCTAAACCCCTAAACCTGGGTAAGCATGGAAACAACAGCTGAAGACCCAAGATGCGACCGAGACGTCCGCCCGGCCGACCAAAACGCGCGTTGTGGCTGCTGTCTTCGGAAAAAATGTTAAAAGGGAAAAACTCCGTGGCAGCCTGTCCAGCCGCGTTGGCACTATGCAAGAGTGGCTTAGGCTTGGCGTTCTCTCTGCGTTGACATGTGTTCATGAGTGCCAGAAGGAACATGATGCCTTACTGCCGCAGCCAACGATGGTCATGAAGCTTTCGGGCACAGCGGGTTTTACCTGGCTGTGACCACCTTCAACTTTAGGATCTTCCACGAACCTTGCAGTCCAGCAGAACTCACAAGCAGACCTCGATCATGCCGTCCTTCAGCCCGAGCGTGGTCACCTCCTGGCACGCGACTCGATCTCCCTGCAGGCCGCTCTGCAGGAATTGCGGCATGGATCGACCATGAGCGAAGTCTGCTGCTGTCCAGCCTCGGCTGTTCTTCCGCTGCAGATCGGCACCGGCCGCGATGAGGGCAGCAGCCGCCTCGTACTGAGCGGACATGATGGCCATCATCAGCGGCGTGCTACCCGGCATGTGGTAGGCTTGAAATCTTGCAGTAGTGACACCTCCAAACTGGTACTGCAGGCCTTTGGCTGCACGGTACAGCCGAAAGCGCTTCCATACGAGACGCTGGTCAAACTGGAAGTCCACATCGCCGCGCAAGCTCAGAAGCCGCTGCACCAGCTCCGCAGAGCATACGTAAGAAATGACGCCAGCGAAGAGCGAGTAGGACACCTCCCGCGGATCCGGCTGGACCTGCTGCAGCATCACTTCGAAGGACGCCAATGAGTACACGGCTGCTATAGGAAAGGCGGTGTCCCCGAGAAGAGTGCGGCTCAGTGGCGTGCCTCCTGCAGCGCACAATAGGCGGACTCCTTCGGCGTTGTCTGAGATTGCTGCCGTAGTGACGGCTGGAGCTATTCCACCTTCCAAGTGCGCTCGTACGGTGATCAGCAGCTGAACCGCATCGTTTTGTCTGTAGAACGCTGCGATGTCCAGGGCAGACATCCAAGGCAAGAGGCCCAGGCAGGGATCGTCCCTTGAGGTCCTGCGATTCACAGAAGCCCGCTGCTGCAGCAATCCTCTGATCACCTCGGTGTTGCCGGACAGCGCTGCATAGTGCAGCGGACACCAGCCTGCGACGTCGGATTCGCTGGCCTTCCTGAAGCCGTTCTGGTGAAGGAAGTTCGTCGCAGCCTGCTCGGTGTCGAGAGGCAGGACGCCCAAGATGGGCTCAATGTCCAGTCCTCGGAGGTGGACGCTCTGCAAGTTCAGGTGCCGGCGGAATCCGGGAAGGTCTCCGGCCCGCAAGCAGTTCATCAACTTTCGCATCACGATTTGCCTCATCACTGGAGCTAACTTCTTTCGGTCTTCCTCCTTCGTGAAGTCGCCCTCGCCCACTGGTCCCATAAGAAACGATAATCCTGAGCCTACGACTTCCCCGCGAGGTTTGCCCTGGACTACAATCCACGTGCTGTTTGCAGACAGCTCCCGCGCAGCCCTTTCTACACGACACCAACCACGCTGTGCCCACGTCCTGCCACTCAGCACTGTTTCTGGGCACTCAATTACTGGGCATAGCACAAAGAAAAAGTCGCACTGGGCCACATAGGCTGGGATGCTGGTGATGGCTTTGGCCTGCTGGCTGCCATCGCTCTCGTCAGCACCAAACGTTCTGCGCTGTTCCAGTTGTGGGCATGAGAAGTAATCATACCAGATGTACAAGGAGCAGGTCTGGAAATCACGGCTGGGAAGAGGCCTGGCACGCAAGACGTAAGTTTCTGTGACCCAGTCCAGGGGCACATGTGTGCTACCGTCCAAGAGCCGCATCAGCACGTCCTGCAAAACCTTCATCTGCCGGAACTCGGGGTCTGGGTGGTGCTTCGAAACCCACTGGTGCGAAGCAAAAGCCGCCTTCTTCGTCGCATCCTTCTCGAAGACGGTGAGTTGCCCCTGGGCCTTCAGCTCTTCGTGAGGCTGCACCTTCGTCATCTGCAGCAACAGCTCGACCGCGACCGTGTACATGGGAAATAGCATCGCAGCCCCAGTGTCCCCCGGCAACGTTTTGGCGTAGATCTCCAAGGCAGTTCCGGACTTCCCCCCTCTGCAGCAAGCCATGAGCTCGATTTTCCAAGCTGTAACTAAGCACCTTCTGCTCCCCAACACTCTCGGAGGTCTTGAGCCTTCGATTTCGGGTTCAGGGTTTGCTAAACCGCAAGCACCCAGGGCCCTGGTCGTTGGGAAATGGGTTGCCGGGGTTGCTTGAAGACTTGGAGCAGATCGTCCCTGCAAACGCTTGCCAACTTCAGGGGGAGAATCTGGGACTCGTGCTAACAAGACCCTAACCTGGCTTGCTACTCACGGAATCGACACACTTGGACATCGGAGCCTCCAAATCCACAACAAGGGCATCCCCACAACCAGAAGTCCCAATTACCGCAAAACCGGGAACGCCTCGTCGCTTGAAGATCGTAACTGCATGATTTGAGGGCCCAACCACAAACACTGGGTGCAAACTATCTCAGCTTCTCCACAACCCGCCATGAAATGATTGTAGAAAGTGTCTGAGAGTCGTCTGGTATCAGGATAGCACGGACCATGATAATCCATAACCGATGCACAGAAAGGGAGAAGGAGAGGCGGAGCTCTGGTGTCTATGGTGGCGCCTCGGGCTCCTCAGCAATCTTATCCAGCTTGCTCCGGGCTGCATCTGCACTGACGCCTTGGGGCGCATGCGATGCTTTGGGAGTCAATCAAGTCGCTGGAATGCAGAGTCGAGTTTGTCAGGTCGGATGGTGGCAGAATACGTGTCGCGGGGCTTTGCCAACGTATTGGAGATGTTTGTGCTTCTTCTTGCTCCCCCTAAGACCCAAATTGCTTCGGGCATGACTGTGCCACAGCGTCGCTGGGAGTTCGGCCGCTTCCAGCCGCACTGGATGTTTGGGCGAAGAAGCCTGCACGAATCAGAAGATCTGGAGCGATTTAGGGTCTAGGGATGTGGACGATTTGGGGGCACTGTGGTGCTTCGTTTGGCCACAAGTGATTTATGGAGGAGGGGGTCAGCGCTGGTCAGATAGTCTGCCAACCCGTGCAAGTGTTTTTGAATATCTGTGCAACACTTCTAGGTACGAAATCTCGAGCTTCGAGCTGATCATGAGACCGAATCAAGACCACATTGACACTACACCACAAGCCATGACCCTGATTCTCGCTCAGCAGCTCTACGACTTCAACCATGGCGGTTCAGAAATGGCGCAACTGCATGTCACCTTATCTTTGCCAACCATGTACTACACTTACTGCACAGATTTATCATTGTTATCCTCGGCTTTCATCAGACACAGGAAATCTAATCCCTAAAACCAGCGTCTGCCTTCCTCCATGTCTATTGTGTCCATCTGCGAGGAGATGGCCGCAACCTTAAAAGCAAAAGCCGATCCCAAATCAGGAAAATTGCTGCCCCCAAGCCCTTCCACAACCCAAGCTGCAGCACATGCACGTGCAAAGCAAGAGCTCTCTTCGTCTCTCGGAGACGGCTTGCAGCTGGAGACGGAAAAAAACACCTTGAACCCAAATTGAAGGCAAAGCTGCACACGACTCAGTCTCACACACCTTTGAGCGGCCCGGAACTGCTCAAGCACTTCAAGTCCTGCAGTGGCGGCTTGATGTTTACCAAATATGCACGGTCCTCGACCAATTACATTGACCATTATGCATCGTAAGGCATACGTCATGTTGTGCTGGATGGATGCTAGGACCCGCTTCCCGGTTCTAAAACACATGCCAGAATGCCTTCTACTCGACTCTCTACCTCCTTCCCTCCCTCCCACACTCCTCTGTCTCTGTCTGTGTCTCTGTCTGTGTCTCTGTCTCTTTCTTTCGGCTCTCTCTCTCGCGCTCTATCACTCTGTCTCTCCGTCTCTCCGTCTCTCTGTTTCTCTGTTTCTCTGTCTCTCTCTCTCTCTCTCTCTCTTTCTTTCTTTCTGCAGGGCGTAGGGGTCGCGCGCGCCCCCCAGGCCTTAGGCCTTAGGCCCGCCCAGCTCACCCCCTGTGCTATGGAGTGGCTGGCAACGGGGTCTTTCCTGATTACTGCAGGGAACTACGCAGTTTGTTCTTTGTTTCCGTGCAGGCAGCCCACTTAGAACGCTAGAACCCCCGCGCATCCCGGCCTCGTCTCCGGGCCCCTATGGCTACCAGTTACGATCCTTAGTCCTTCTAGGCGGGCTTTACTGCAAGGTCCTCTCTCTCTCTCTCTCTTTCTTTCTTTCTGCAGGGCGTAGGGGTCGCGCGCGCCCCCCAGGCCTTAGGCCTTAGGCCCGCCCAGCTCACCCCCTGTGCTATGGAGTGGCTGGCAACGGGGTCTTTCCTGATTACTGCAGGGAACTACGCAGTTTGTTCTTTGTTTCCGTGCAGGCAGCCCACTTAGAACGCTAGAACCCCCGCGCATCCCGGCCTCGTCTCCGGGCCCCTATGGCTACCAGTTACGATCCTTAGTCCTTCTAGGCGGGCTTTACTGCAAGGTCCTCTCTCTCTCTCTCTCTTTCTTTCTTTCTGCAGGGCGTAGGGGTCGCGTGCGCCCCCCAGGCCTTTGGCCCGCCCAGCTCACCCCCTGTATTATGGAGTGGCTGGTATCGGGGTTTTTCCTGACTACGGCAAAGGACTACACAGTATGCTCAGCGCTTTCGTGTAGATACCCCCGCCTAGAACTCTAAACCCCGCGCATCCCGGCCTCATCGCCGGGCCCCTATGGCTACCACTACTCGCGTACCTTAGTCCTAGGCGGGTTCCACGGTGAGGGCTTGGGCTGAGCGTTCAGCAAGGTGTGTTGCGACTGCATCAGAGTATGCTACGTCCCTACCTCAAGCAACGTTCCAACACAGACACACGGAGCTGCACTCACCTTGCTCTCCCCTTTTGTTAGGGGTTCTGTGTTGTCAAAGGTATCTGGGGTTGGCGTTGGCTCAGGGAGGCGTTCCTAGTAACAAGGTCACCTAGAAACAGGGTACACCATTGTACAGCGAGCCTGCCCCAGAAAAGCGTGAAACTGCTAGTTCGGTGTATCGTGGTGTGGTGGGGGTGGGCACCAGGCCGAGCTACATAATCAGTGGTCATCTCTCTCCCCCACCATGTTGCACGACGAAAGTTGAGGGAAACCGCCGCTACTGGTATTGGGGTCCACACTGCGAGCCTCATACGCGACAAAACCGGGACTATCACGGGTTCAGCTGCAGGTACAGGCCCCGAGGCAAGCGAGAGGGGTGTGTCCCCCGTGGTGGTGGCTCCCCTTACGGAGCGTGCACTGTCGTGTGGCTTCTTGGGCCTTCGTCTGGGGGGCGCTTTTGCAGAAAACAACGAATTACAGAGGAGGCCTATCGCAAGTTGACGTCCGGCTAAGTTCCCCCCAGGTTCGTGGGACTACGGCTACGGGGCTCGACACTTTGGGCCTCATGCACAACATACCTGCCCTGACACAAGGCTAGCTGCAAGTATGGAGCCCCAAGGCTGGCCAAAGGGTGTGTCCCCCGGGGTGGCACCTCTGGCTTGCGGAGGGCTTACGGAAGCTTACCCAGCAGCACAGCCTCAAGGGCCTTGTCAGGAGAGTGGTTCTTGCAACAACAACGGCCCACTCCCCCTAGACTGGAGAGGCCTAGCAAAGTCAACACATCACTGACTCTCCCCCGGTCCTGCTGCACTGCCGAAGCTAAGGCTGCCCTTTGCTCGCTCAGTTCTAGTCGTCCTGGTCTAGTGAGCTTGGGTTACTGAAACGGCGTCGCGGCTCAGGCGTGGAGCGTCGTCTGACTTCAGTCCCCGTGTGCCCCGCAGCGGTGGTAGGCATTGGTGAAGCTCTGGCCGCCGCACGTTCCCCCTCTTCGTCTTCCACGAGGTCGACGATCCCTTCTTCTCCCCAGTACGTGCGAGCCCAGTCGTCCAGTTCGGTCAGGGCCTTCATGAGGTGGTCCAGGAGCTCCCCCGACAGGTAGGGCACGAGGTTGCGGAGTGTTTTGCGGGCCCTGAAGATCTTGAGCGCGTCTGGCGCTTGTCCCCCTGGCCTGCCTTCTTCAGCTCCCCTCGCAAGGGCAATGACGTCCGCCGGGTGGGCCGCCGGTACTGTCTCGGCTTCGCCCCTGTGTGGGTAGTTCCCCACTAAGACGTCGACCCCGTCTGCTGCTGCTTCCAGAAGGTTGCGCACTGGGTAGGTCGCGATCATGGTCTGGATGACCGTCTCGGCGTCCTCCCCCGCGTCCGTGGCATCATGTGTACGCTGCCAGTTGCTTGAGCGTAACCCTCCCCACAGAAGCGCTTGGCCGCTTTGCGTGAGCTCTAGGATCTCAGCGAGTTCCCCCTTTTGTTGGTGGGTCTCCCCGTCCAGCTCGTTCGTCAAGGATCCCCGCCACGAGCGCGGCGATCTGGAAGGCGTTTGGTGAGGGAGGGGGAGTCCTCCCCCTGCGGCCCATCTGTCAATGCGAGGCTAGGCTGAGGCTGGTGGCTGCGGCGGCAAGGTGTGCTTCGACCCCATGCAGCTCAATGGCGCGTGCCAGTGTCATTGCCTCTTGGATGTGTTCTGCTGCTGCCGCGGCCCGGGTGGTTGCTTTGCTTCCCCTGGCTCTCTCCTCCCCTTGTGCTCTGCGGTCGCGGACGTACGGGTCCGGGTCCTCGTCCTCCCCTTGGGCTTGCTCTGCGGCTGCTAGGGTTTCTTCCGAAATGCTTCGCATGAGCTCTGCGGCTTGGTAGCGTGCTTTCTTGAGGGGGGTGTCACTGGAGCTGGTTGCTTGTCCCCGCTTGCTGTCTGCATTCTCTGTTTGGGGCTCGTGTGGGTCGTGTGGGTCCGCGTCAGTGTTGTTGTCGTTGGCCGCGGTGTGGTGGGGGCTTGTCACCCTGAGGGATGGTGCTAGCCATGGCACTGTTCTGCCGGTGTCTTCCACGCTGTTGGTGGGGCTGTGGTCGTGGCAGGTGGGGGCTGCTTCCTCTTGGTGAGGTGTTGTGCTGCCGGTTCCCCACATGGGGTGTCTCCTCCGCTGCGGCTGTGGCCCCCCCTTGCGTATGCCTGTGTCGGGCGGGGTCTCCCCCTCGGGGTGTCGTGGTGTTCGTCCCGTCTGCATGAGTTGGGTGTGGTCTGCTTCCGGTGGATCCTCGCTGGGCCAACTGGTCTCTGAGTCGCTTGGGGGCGGTGGTGGGGGCCTCTTCGGCGCTGGTGCTTGTTTGTGGTGTCCGTATGCTTGTGCCGGCTGGAAGGCTTGGCGCGCGGCTGCCGAGTAGAAGGAGAAGGTTCCTTCTGTTGGTGTGTTGCTCGGGGTGGCTTGCTGGTGTGGGTGGTCCAGAGTGTTCTCTGGGTGGATCGGTGCGTCTTTGTTGTGGTCTGCTGTGTTGGTGTCTGGCTCTGGCTTGTCAGGCTGTATGCTGTCACTGGCTTCTGGGCCCGCTGCCGCGTCAGGTGTAGTGGGTGTTATGTCTGCTGTTGGCTTCTGTTCGCCTGCTGCCTCTCTGTCTGGCTCTGTGCCTTCTGTTGCTGCTGGCTGTGCGTGTTCAGCTGTTTGCGTGTGGCTCTGAGGTGGTTGCCCCCTGTGGCTGGCCGGCTGTAGACTGCTGGTGCTCTTGTTCATTGGTTGTGTTGGGTAAGGTCTGGCATTGGGTTTCGGCGGCCTTCTTGGTGGGTCCACTTGCTGGGACTGAGCTGCCGCTGGCTGTGGCTGTTCCGCTGTTGGGTCGCGGTGGCTTTGTGGTGGTTGTGTCCCCCCCGCGGTGGGTGGCCGTCTTGCCCCTAGCATGTGCACTGCCCACCGGTGCACTGCTTCCTCCCCCCATGCTTCGTCGGCGGGGTAGATGAGGGGGGTTTCCCCCTCATTTTGGCTTTGTGTGAGGGCTGTCGCCCTGTGGGCTCGTGGTTCGTGTGGGTCGCGTTCGGGGAGCTGGACTGTGCGTCTGGCCGCCCGGATTGTAGCTAGGGTGGCGTGGTCCCTCTGCAGTTGCTCGAGTTCATGCTCTTGTAGGTGTGCGCTGAGCTGCCCCGGTCTTCCCATGGAGTCGAGGCGTGCGCGGGTGAGTAGCTCCCCGTCCTCTGGGTCCATGTTGTCTATGCGCCAGCATCCTTGTTGCGGTTGCCACGTGAGCTTGTAGTGTCCGGTGCGCAGGGGCATGCTCCCCGGTTCAGCTTGCCGTGGGGTGGCCCTGATAAAAAGGTGCCAGGGGCCTCCCCCTTGATTCAGCGGGTGTAGCTCGAATTGCATCCCCATGGTGAAGGTTCCTCCTGCACTGCCTCCTTCTGCGGTCTGTCGCAGCCGGGCAAAACCTCTGAGGCGGGCTGTGTTGTAGCTCGGTGAGGTTTGCGCGCTGCGCGCCAGGATTGCCCCCACCCAGCTGCCATGGCCTATGTAGCGGAAGTGGCCGTGCGTGTGTCGGCTCAACGGCAGCTCTGGGGGGAGCGATCTCGGGGGGAGGTATCCGCCCCAGGAGCCAATATATCTGCTCCCCCCTTCGACCCACGATATGGGTGAATCAAGTGGCATTGGCCCTTGGCTCTGCCCGCTGCTGCTGCTGCTGCTCGTGCTGCTGGGCAGTGTGCTGGTCACGTTGCTGCTGCTTGCTGGTTGGTTGGTCTCCCCGCTCGGTGGCTGCTGGTGGCTTGCTGCGGTGTGCTGGGGCCTTGTGTGC